ACACACACACACACACACACACACACACACACACACACACACACACATCTGATGGTTATTCCATGTGCTGCATTCAGATGTCCTGGCAATAGTTTGGCCAGCAAACCCAGCCCAGGGGAGGGTTCTGGTGAGTTCTGAGACTCCAGATGCTGAGATCTAGATGAAAACTCTGGAAACCTCTCCACCCAGATTTGTCCTCAGCTTTTGTGTCGCTTAGGCCATTTTGTAATTCCCTGCACATTTAAAAGTAGGCCACTAATAGCCTTTCCGTGCCATTTAATACTCCTCTTGATGAGATCTACAATGAAGATTAGTAATGTAATCAGCCAGCAGTTCAAGCATACAGTATTTTCAAGGTGTCCATGGAGTTTTCTTATAAACTAACGAAAGCAATGTGTACAATCAAGACAAACTGTGTGTATTCTTTAGCTCACGATGAATGCATTTCCTTCCTCATGAAACACTTGCCAAGCCGATTATTCTTAAAAATACTGGCTAGAAGAATGCTTCACTGACTTTGTTGGTGCGTTGGTGTCTTTCTTGGTATGTCACTGCCGCCTATTGATCAGTGGAATAATATGATACCATTGGCAGCAATATGTATCACGTCACCTGCATGCACGTGCAAGCATGAACGTACTCCTGCATGGGATAAAAAAAACAGGGGACCCTCTCAAAGAAAAGCTGTTCCATAGCGCTACTAGCAGTTAAAAAAAAACATGGGGAACCTTTAAGCAAGATGTTTATGCGGACAACATTATGTTAATGTAAAGCTGGTAGGTGCTCCAAAACTATACCTAATGAGAGTACCCAACCAACAAAGGAAAAAAGTGTTAAGGTAGCGAGTTCCATTTTTACATTACATGATCTGTCTAACATGTCTGAGCCACATACCTGCTCTCTGGATTGAGATTCTCCACGGCTGTGTGTGTCTGGTTGGTGGTCAGTACGGACACCTCCTCTCCATTTGGTCCTTTAGTGGTGGATACGACTTCATACTCTGACGACAGGAGCAGGAATATCAGTGTGCTTTTAGTAGCACAAACTCCACATTTCAAGTATATCAGGTATGGCTGATAAGAGAGTGGTTCCATTTACATCTTTACAACTTGCTGTTAAGAATGGAGACACAGCATAACTAAGTGGAGGTGGAGCTGTCGTGCAAAACAAAACTAGACTTGTTGGCAAATATAAAGAGGTTTGACGCAATTCGAACCAGGAGGCTCGCCGACCCAAGAGGTTTGGGAAGCCGAGGACATCGCTGAATAAGGCTCCAAACCCCAGTTCTGTCCCTTTGCCTTAAACATGTCAGCCTTTCACAGTATTCTGTGTATATCTTATTGTATTTACAGTACCTTTGGTTTCATTGTCAGATTTCTGCCAGTCAAGAATGATGAAAGACGGGCATCCCTCCACAGTAACCACGGTGAGGTTGGAGGGAGGGATGCGGGGAGGACCAGTCACGTTCTGATCACCCCCCTCCTCGTCAGGGAAGTAAGTGAGGGAGGAGGTGATGGAGCACGGCTCATCTGGCTTTTTATCGGTCTTGTATATCACATGGGGAGCTGCAGACAGGTACAATAAAAACAGCCATTCTTCATTCATGCTTCCTTTTTCACTTAAACGATTGAGAGAGCTGATGATTTCAATGACGAAGCTTTTAGAACTGCAGTGGAGATGTAAAACTGCCATGATGAAGTCATACCAACAAAGCGCTTCTTGCCCATGATGTCTACTTCTGACGTAGGCAAGGGCCTGAAAATGGAGGAGTTTTCATTATTTATGTCGAAACGGCTGGCTGAAAAGAAAAACAGGAGAGAGAAGTTGGGGTTAGATCGGTGTGCCAGCAGTCCCTGGCAGCTTTCTCTGTCTCTCATTTTCACAGCTCTGGCGCTGGGTCGATAACGAGCCAGCTCAGCACCTGCTCTGGCCTGCACTCTGGCTCTGCCTCTGACAAATGATGTGATAAAATGTTCTTGTTTCTTTCCTTACCTTACTATAGGCTTCACACCTACAAGCTGCATCGCCAATACCTCTTGATTATTATCACGCGCATACATCGACTCGACATCGAGTCAAAAAGCTTTTTCCATCACATATTTTCTCTTGTTCATGGAGGTATACTCAATTCAAATTTCTCTAGAAAGTCATATCTTTCATCTTAAGAAGGTTAATTTGTGTTACTCATACTGTTTACTGCCGGGGCAGAGGTGGTTGTCTGCCGCTGTCGGCGCTCTTGCTTGGGCTTGGCTGTGACCAGAGGGAATGGCTTCAAGATGGATTCCTTGTCTCCCTGTTTCAGGTCCATGGGTTTGTCTGAGGACAGAGCAGCGGGAGGAGGAGAATAGATCAGTTGTTCACCCTCATCATCTGACTCATAGTCATACACAGTTGTGATCCATCTGCTCTGGCCATCCTCACTGAGCAATTCAGTGGCGTTTTCCTGGCTGCTATAAAGATCAGAGATGGCTTGGTGAGTAATATCTCTTGTGCTCTTTAAAGGAGGAAAAAAGGTCACCCAGAATACATCTGCTGAGACCAAGGATGCCCAGATGCTCAGAACCATGCACACACAGAAACACAAACACATACAAACACACAGGCTTTGTACACACAAGAGGACAGAGAATGTCCAGAAAAAAGCCTTGGCAACAAGATTTCTCAGATGAGCTATAGTGTTAACATTAATGCTGTTTTGTTCAACAGTAAACACAGTACATTTCCTTGCAAGCTGATTTAGGAGTTGTTTAGTTGCAAACAATAGCTTAAGAGCTCAAGCTTAAGTGGTTCTCAAACTGCAACAAAGGGCGTAGAGGCATTGCGGCCGAGACTTATTTGACCTTGTGGAAAAATATGGAGTGGAGCTAAAGTTGAATAAATCGGATTCATGCGGGACTAATAAACAAGCAAGAGTGCTTTCACAACAACAT